TTTGATCTCAAATGAGTAGATCATATAGTATTCATGTATAAGTTTGTTGTAGCCCAGTGGTACAATTTGTTTGTTTGTTTGTTGTTAACGCCGCACTCAGCAATATTCCAGCTATATGACGGCGGTCTGTAAATAATCGAGTCTGGGCCAGACAATCCAGTAATTGACATCATGAGCATCGATCCACGCAATTGCGATACGATGACATATATATACAACAACCAAGTCAGCGAGTCTGACCACCCGATCCCGTTAGTCGCCCCTCACGACAAGCATAGTCGCCTTTTACGGCAAGCATGGGTTGCTGAAGACCTGTTCTCTACCCGGGTCTTCACGGGGAGACAAGCCTGGGTTGCTGAAGACCTGTTCTCTACCCGGGTCTTCAATGGCTCGAGCGTTCGGTCATCACGCCGGGGAGCTGGATTCATGGCTACATGAAGATTGGAGCGGCGTCAAATCTACTCACTCACTCACCCGTATTCAAGTTAGAGAAGTTAAAGAACACCCGATACTTTCATATAACTATCGATAATCTGACATGGGGCGGTGAGGTGGCCTAGTGGTTAAAGTGTTCACTCGTCACGCTGAAACCCCGGGTTCAATTCCGTACATAGGTACATTGTGTAAGATCCATTTTTGGTGACTCCCGCCGTAATAATGCCGGAGTATTACCAAAAGCGACGTAAAACCATACTCACTCACTAATCTGCAGTGCCATGACAGATTAACTATAGTAATATAAAAGAATCAGGTGTTCTTAAACTTCTTTTGAGTAGTATATTTCTTATTCTTCTTAAAGAAGATTCGCGATTATAATATTAAAACTGTTGAAATAAATACAGTGTATGTGTTAATTTCATACCGTCAGTAATGTGTTCAGATTCCCTCAGAATATGTTAGTCCCCTCCAAATATTCCCATCGCCGCGAATAGCTGCAAAATTGCTGATGCGGCGTTAAGCAATATTCACTCACTCCAAATATTCCCACAAACATTCCACGACCCAGCCACGCCCGCTATCACCCATATATAACCAATGCGCATATTAGCTTGTACAAAGTATGTTCATCAGCTGATAGAGAGCACAATAAATAGTCGATGGAACAGTATAACGGAACTATAGAGTCGATCAGGCAAGTGAAATCGACACCTGCTGATAGCAGCATGTGGCAGTCAGCTGGTAGTCACTCGCACGTGAAATAACGAAGACACGTGTAACCATGTGTCGGAACATGCATATTCTACTCTGGCATCGAATAATTCATTAATTTCTTTCGATTAAATATGTAGGCCAGATAACGTACGATCCAGATAACATGAGAAATGATAGTGATTTTCGGGTTGGTTTACTATCTAATAATTCTCCGACGTTGGGGTTTAAAATTTACTTGAACCGAGTCGATGTTACATCTGTGGACTGAAGTCCACGACTTTCATCATAAGCTCAGGAGTATTTATCAATAATGCTGTGTTAACTGTAACATAATTGTGTCTGTGCGGCTGTGTGTCGTCTTGTATGACGAGGTCCCACGGCTACAGCTGACGTACAGGTGGCCCAGTCTTCTAAGGCGCCGCGATTCGCTGTGCAGAGTTGCGTCCCTTGGGCACGACAGAAACCTATGACTGTGGGTTCGAATCCCGGTTCGCCCCGATTATGTTTCAAGGTTTGTCAGCACCATACCCGTGCTCGTGGGTTTCACCGAAGTGATAAACGTCAGAGACCTGCATCACTTCGGGCTTTCCTCCCACATTAAGCTGACACGCTGCGATATAACTGGAATACTGTTAAAAGCGGCGTTAAACCCAACTCACTCACTCACTACAGCTGACGTAGACCTCTCTTAGTCTCCGTGGCCCTTCTCCTGGTCAAGTGTAATGCTCTGTGTCTGGTTGGCTTCAAAGGAGCTCCATAACTCTCCACAACAACATAATTTATTACAGCATGTATACGGTTATTTGTTTTGTGCAATTGCCAAGAGTCGAGATGAAACCATTCAGTATAATGTATTTGCAGTATGGCGAAACAGCCGTCGTTGTAACGACGTGGCAGAGTTCAGAGCTGTCAACGTGCCTCACACTTTGGTTCCTGAATACATTTTTTGCTTTAATACACCCATGATCAAAGAAGCTGTCAAACACACCAATACAGTCGTTGGGAGACGTTTGCATGAATGAATGAGTGAGTGAATATGGTTTTACGCCGCTTTTAGCAATATTCCAGCAATATCCCGGCGGTGGACACCAGACATGGGCTTCACACATTGTACCCATGTCGAGAATCGAACCCGGATCTTCGATGTGACGAGCGAACGCTTTAACCACTAGGCTACCCGACCGCCCCCATGAATGAATGAAGTTTTACGCCGCAATATTCCAGCTACGATAGCATGTAGTAAGTCAAGACAGGAGCAAACAAAACCAGTGACTGGACAATGAGTTACTATCGGGATCACGCTTGTCAAATGAAGCATCCTGAATAGGTTTTGATAAACGGCTCCACGAATCTGGTACTCTTTGCGTAAACATCTGACACCATTTGCAAACACATATATTGACTATACACGTAGCGTTAGAGGTTTACTTTGAGGTAGAGTGCGTCCGTGGTCTAGTGGCTAGAGCATCTGTCCCGAGAGCGGAAGGTCGGTGGTTCGATCCCTTGGCCGCTCCATACCATATTCATTAAATGATGGTACTTGTTGTTACCCTCCCTGGCGCTCGACATTAAGAGGCTAAAACAAGGACTGTCGGCTCGGAGTCAGTATACTGTGCTTGAATGGGGTAGTCATGTTACACTGCGGCATAGTATCTCAGTGGGCGAGCATTAGAAAATCGGCATTATTACGGAATAGTACAAGCACTCCACATTTCAAACGACCCAGTACCCGTGAAGATCCGGGTTAGAATGGGTCTTCAGCAACCAATGCTTGTCCTAAGAGGCGACTTACAGGATCGGGTGGTCAAGCTCGTTGACTTGGATGATGCATGTTATCGTATCTCAAATGTGTAGATCGTTGCTTATGATGTCAATCACTGAATTGTCTGGTCCAGACCCGATTATTTACCGAGCGCCGTCATATAGACGGAATATTGTTGAGTGCGACGTTAAACACCAAACAAACACACAAACACACATCAAACGACCCGGGTCAGAATAGACTCCCAGTAGCCAGCTTCGAAGATGATCTACGACCAAGAAGACCTTCAACTGCCTCAACTAAGGGAAATGTTAATAATAAAATACATGATGTGATTGTGGATACTCGACGACACCACACGTTACACAGCCAGTGCGGGGCGGTCGGGTAGCCCAGTGGTTAAAGCGTTCGCTCGTCACACGAAGACCCGGGTTCGATTCCCGACATGGGTACAATGTGTGAAGCCCATTTCTGGTGTACCCCGCCGTGATATTGCTGGAATATTGCTAAAAACGGCGTAAAACCATACTCACTCACTCACAGCCAGTACAGCAGACATCTCTCTCGAGGAAGTTGAGCACATTCTGAGGAACGGGCTGTGCATGACAGCACGCCGGGTTCCAAGTCTTCTGACGCCTGATCAGAAACACGCCAGAACTTACGTCATCTTGAAGCAGACCCAGTTACTTTTTTTTTTAGCGATTTGTACCCATGGATGACTCCTGGTTCACGCACCCTATCGCTCAGAGACTTAACAGTCTATGTAGTGGAAACATCTAACGTATCCTTCTCTGAAGATGAAGGCAAAATCTGGCAAGGTGATGGCTTGTGATTTCTGGGATTCTAAATGAATCCTACTGGTGAACTACATCTCGAAAGGTCAGATGGCCAATGGCCAATAATACCCTTATCTGCTTAGGAAACTGCGTGAGAATATCAAGGCTGAACGTTGTGGAAAACTCACAAAAGATGTTGTTCCATCACAACCAACACCAACAAGCCAGACCATCATGGTTTTCAACCTACCTTGTACATAGCACCAATTGATATATATCTAACGCTTACAATCAGCAGTCAATACTACAAATATTTAATGAACTAACTCCATATTCAAAGTTCGAGGAATAGCTGCAAGATTGCTAGTGCGGAGTAAAGTAACATTCAATCACTTATTCACTCCCAAGGGCTTGAACCCGTGAATGCGGGTTAGAATAGGTTTTCAGCAACCCTTACTTGTCGTAAGAGGCGACTAGCGGGATCTGATTGTCGGGACTCCGTGTCTTGGTTAATGAATGTTATTGTATTCCAATTGCGTGGATCGATGCTCATGATGTCAATCACTGGATTGTCTGTCCCAGACTCGATTATTTACAGACCGCCGTCATAAAGCTGTTATATTGCTGAGAGCGGCGTTGAACAACAAACAAACAAACAAACAAATCAGCAACACAAACATCTTTTGTGCAACACAAGACACGCTCTGTCATGTTGATACATGTACACATTCCACTACAACAGTGTGTTGAGTGAGTGAGTCAATGAAACTTTAACGTTCCATCAGAAATAGTTCAGCCCAACGGCGACATTACTCTAGCTAAATATGAAGGCACTGTCGCTCAAAACAAAGTCTCAGTTTCTCTCTCCATTATTTTCTGACGCATTACCTTTATGTTCCGATAATGTACCGTTACTCTGCTTCTATATTACATAGCTAGGCTATACACACAGTATATACAATAGCAGTCATGGTTGAATGTGTACCATGTATGAGCTCTCCAGGTTGACCCTGAACATAACGCAACAGAAGCGTGTACGACAAACATGTCATTTAATTGCAATAAACATGCAATCTAATGACATTATATAATCACGTGAATTGACTGTAGGCAGTTCAAGCAACTGTTCCGTGATATCGTTTACGTTTTAGCGGGTCCGTGTAATAAACAAACGCGATATATTTAATTATTATGCCACTCGCTAAACAGGGATCCAACCACAGCAAGCTCTTCTGTCACTTGTGAACTTGGCGGCTATAAATAGACTACCACGTGGTGGGTCTTGATAGGCAGCGCATCGCAAGGGCCGGGCAAGTCACTACAAGACTGTTGTGGAAAGTACATCAACAGTAGGTCTTGATTGTGTTGGCACCAAAGGGAGGCAAGCGCTGTCACCGAAGCATAGAATAGTTAGATAGTGTTCAATGGTGTGTGTTCAACTGTAGCGGTGTTGTGGCGTGCGCGTTCGACGTGCTTCCTGTTTGAAACTCAGAGAACGGCATTGTCAGTGACGGGAGGCCGTTTGTTATCGATCGAGATTAATCATGAGAATTGGCGATACATAGAGGATAAGCTAACATCAAAAAGGCGACTTGGGCGCCTGGTCGTAGTTGTGATGCGTTGTAGTTTAACAGCACACTCAACATGAAAGGACAGGGATATTTTCACGGACTTGTATGTGTGTTTCTGTTAATTGTGCCAGTGATTGGTGATGGGTTTATCTATGAGGATAATACCAGTGAGGACTTGGGACATGTTAGAAATTCAAACGGAACAATATTATGGGGTTCTCTACCGAAAGGTAAGTGTTTTTTCAAATTTGTTTATGTTTTTGGCAGTATCTGCATTTGGCACCAATGTCAAAGAGAATTGGTTAGTTTGATAGCACTGGTGTCTCGACTTGATCACTTTTAAATTGCTTCAAGACAGACGTGACAAATTGGGAAGAATGGGAATTAACAAGTAGTTGGTCCTTGTCTATTAAAGCAATACAGGCAGGATATTTCCTGAGTACGAGCGTCGAGTACCACGCAATACTCATTTATCAGAAGCCGCTACTGCCGTGGTGACAGTCGTAAATTATTCATCCCATTCTCTTGTAAAATTCAGTATGGGATATTAATGTTTTATAAATGCGTATTTCGCTTACCGCACGAACCTGACATCGACCATGGAGGTTGGTCGCCGGTTGTGTTTACCCAAGAACGATATTGCCACTATTGTCAGCTTAGAGCATCCACACCAATCTTTGGGTAGCCTTTATGGCATCAATCTAACACTGGCTTAATGGACAACGGCTGATAATATCTTTACTATGACAATAGCTGGACAATTGTTGCGTTCAGGAGATGTTGCCGGGTCGTTCTTACAGATAGAAGAATTTATGATTCGTGCTTATTTGCAAGTCGTGTTTATGATTTCTAGCGGAAGAATGAATGGCTTTTATCATTGTTGGCGACTCATGGACAGATACTGGGCGCCTCTTCGCAAACATTTTAGCCTTGAGTGATATCATACTTTCAATTCTATTCATTAATGTTTTTCGTCCATTGCATCTCATCACCAACACTTACTATTTGTGTGAACCGATTCTGTCTACATCGGTCAAGAATCAAATACATACAACAAATGTATCGCGATCTAACGCGATGTATCTAAGCGTTGCTCTATATTAACAAGGCATGCCAATGTTTCCTAGCCGTTCCCAATTGTTCAATGTACATAGTAGTTATATCGATGGTATTGTAAAACACAGGTCTAGTAAATATGTCACTTGGCGCTGTGTCGTAAATATGGCAATGCAGAGCCGTGGATTCAGTAACCAAAGACACAATACCAGTTTAATATACACTGAAGTATTGATTATTTCAATATGTCGGGTTGTATGGCGATACGAACGAAATACAAGGCAATTGAAATGCGTGTGATGTACATCAGAGTCGAGGATGCTTGTTCCACAAGACGTGTGTTCCGACTGAAGGTCGGCGTTTTACTATGTGCCTTATTGAAATCCCTCTTCAACCGTAGAAATTAAATTACCACACTACGAGTAGTTCGCAGAAAGGTGTGGGTTAATTAATGACGAGTTTCAGCATTGAACATCTGTTTGGTGTGCCGCGAATCTTGCTGGGGACGTGTAGCTTTGGGAACTGTTCAGGCTTAAAGTCCCTATTCATACTCTGTTAGACACGCAATCGCTTTTCGACCCAGTGTAGTATTACGCTTTCTGAATGGCCCCTACACTATCACTGTATAGATAACATGGGATCTGTAAGCAGGGTAACGATTATTTCCACAGCTAAGGTGATTTATGTTCATGGCACTTATTTCAGCTAATCTTGGCTCAAAGAATTATTTTTTTGGTATTATTGAATACCAATGCCCATGTTTATTAAGTATGTGAGCATTTGTTACACTGGTTCTCTTCACACAAAAATCCATTATTACGTTCAGTGGTATATAATTTTGATTACGATTTTGATAAAGTTCAATCAGTTCCTGTTGTCTTTGTTTTAAGCTACTTTTCGAACATTGGAGGCCAGAGGATATTGAGGCTAGTATTACTCAGCCATAACTATACATTGAATAGAATAACTACAACAATCAATATCAATTGGTTGATCAATACACGATTGTATTGATAAATGATTAGGAACTGAATGCATAACACAATCTGTTCACAAATGACTTCCACTTGGAAAAGGCTATCTATCAAACCCTTCAAATGATCAGTCTCTATCTTTCTATCCACCCTGGTCCTTTATCAATTCATTAGTTCCTTGTTGTCCATCCCTCTTACCTTCTCCCCCAATCTCCAGTTGCAGGGTTCAAGTTCCAGTTTTACACTGATACTGATCCTTTATTGACTAGTTTTACACTGATACTGATCCTTGATTGCCTAGTTTTACACTGATACTGATCCTTGATTGCCTAGTTTCACACTGATTATGATCCCTTGATGCCTAGTTTTACACTGATACTGATCCTTTATTGCCTAGTTTCACACTGATACTGATCCTTGACTGCCTAGTTTTACACTGATACTGATCCTTGATTGCCTTGTTTCACACTGATTATGATCCCTTGATGCCTAGTTTTACACTGATACTGATCCTTTATTGCCTAGTTTCACACTGATACTGATCCTTGATTGCCTAGTTTCACACTAATACTGATCCTTTATTGCATAGTTTCTCACTGATACTGATCCTTGATTGCCTAGTTTTGGACTGATACTGATCCTTTATTGCATAGTTTCACACTGATACTGATCCTTGATTGCCTAGTTTTACACTGATACTGATCCTTGATTGCATAGTTTCACACTGATACTGATCCTTTATTGCATAGTTACACAATGATACTGATCCTTTATTGCATAGTTTCACACTGATACTGATCCTTTATTGCCTAGTTTTACACTGATACTGATCCTTGATTGCCTAGTTTTGAACTGATACTGATCCTTATTGCCTAGTTTCACACTGATACTGATCCTTTATTGCCTAGTTTTACACTGATACTGATCCTTGATTGCCTAGTTTCACACTGATTATGATCCCTTGATGCCTAGTTTTACACTGATACTGATCCTTTATTGCCTAGTTTCACACTGATACTGATCTTTTATTGCATAGTTTCTCACTGATACTGATCCTTGATTGCCTAGTTTTGAACCGATACTGATCCTTTATTGCCTAGTTTCACACTGATACTGATCCTTTATTGCCTAGTTTCACACTGATACTGATCCTTGATTGCCTAGTTTCACACTGATTATTGTCTTTGGTTGCCCAGTTTCACACTGATTTTGATCCTTGGTTGCCCAGTTTCACACTGATAATAATCCTTGGTTGCCCACTTTCACACTGATAATAATCCTTGGTTGTCTAGTTTCACACTGATAATAATCCTTGGTTATCTAGTTTCAAATTGATTATCGCTCTTGGTTGCCTAGTTTCACAGCAATTATGATCTTTGGTTGCCTAGTTTCACACTGATTATGATCCTAGGTTGCCTAGTTTCACACTGATTATGACCCTTGGTTTAGAGTGGTCCACTTGGGCTTCTTCCCACACAAAGCTGATACCAAGAGACTACTGTACAAACTTCACAGAGTTAAACTGAACTGACTCTCCTCGGTGGCTTCCTGGGGTAGCCTAGTGATTAAGGCTTTGGCTCATCATGCCAAAGACCTGGGTTCCATTCCAAATCTGGCCACAATGTGTTAAACCCATTTTGTGCATTCCCTGCCAATATTTTACTTGTATATTATTGAAGTGGTGCCAACCATCACTCACTCTCTGTCAGCCTTATTCAGTGCTGACATGTTTTGCTTTTATATGCCACAAATGCTACATGGAAACAGCCCCATTATATCTCACCGAACTACTGCCTAAATACAAGCCTTCCAGATCTCTCCGTTCTCAGAATAACCACCTGTTACAAGTCCAGGAAACCCGTCTCAAAACCTTTGGTCAGAGATCTTTCCAGTTCTGAGCTTCCTCACTATGGAACAAACTACCATCTGATCTTAAGCTGTCGCCATCAATTTCATCCTTTAAGGCTCATCTGAAAACACACCTTTTCACACAACACTATCAACTCTACTCCCCTTTCATTAGCATTATTTGCTAAAACTATGTAGCGCCATGAGATTAACTTGGTGAATGGAATCTGGCGCGGTATAAATGGACATATTATTTACTCTTGTTGACTGAAACAGGGTGACATATTTTAATTATATTTTCACCTCAATGATAACTCCTAGCAGAGGCCACTGATGGGAGGCCTCTGAGCCTGGTGCTTGGTGTAAGTGGCTCAAGACTGTCACTTGGCTGAACGCATGTCGTGGTCCCCGAGGGCAGCTGGAGTTGTCTCTCATCAATCACTGGTTTAGTCGGTCCAGACCCACTCCCCAGGATGGATGTGGGTGGCCCAGGAGGAACAAAACCATTTTTATTAACCACATCACATTATTTTCCAGAACTTTAGCGTGTCATGTTTTGTACTTCTGTAGAACCAAAGAACTGACTCTTTTACCAGCATTTTCAAGGAAGAGATTTTCTTCAAGCACATATCGACTCCCCCTTCCACTCCCCAATATTATCCAATTCACAATTCAATAAATCAGCTAGAAATGAATTGATGCACTCACTATTGTTAATTGTGAAAGATACTTCTGATGTAAATATTGACCTGATGCTAGTTGGAAATGCAATTTTACCTAATCGTGTGAACGAAAGCATTTTTAGGAATGTACATATATAAGAAGAAAGAAAAGGTTTGATTGAGCAGTGTGAATGTACATACGTTTCTCTATCTCTTTCCTTTCCTTTCTGTCATTTGATTTATTAACTGTAAATAAGCATACATGTAAATCTATGGGAGAGGGCTTTCTAAGTTGTGATAACTTGTGCCCAATCCTTTTCATGAGAATAAAATATGTTTAAACTAACTACATTCACAGCCCTCACAGTGATCCTGGGAACTTAGGTCTCATATAACTGAAATACCACTGAAAGGTGTTAAAGCCAACTCAGTCGTCCACTTCGATGCCCAATATATGAAAAAACTGGCATACAGGACATGTGCTTTGCAGGAGATCTTCTAAACTCCTCTGTACAAACCGGATCTTCGATAAGAAATAAATTCTTCATTTCTTTCACACATCTGTCCACAGTCGCACCTCCAATCAATAAATCTGCTGATGTTGTTTTCTCATGCTTTCACAACCACTACTTCACACAGGGTGACGTTGGAGTCGACACAGTTCAATATGTGCAAACTATGCAACAATAT